TCGGTTGAACATCCACTTCTTTCTCGCTACCTGTCCGCCAGCTCATATGGCCGAGACCGACGATCCGGCAGTCGGTTGAATCAAAAAGTCTATCTCGCCTCGGAAGATTTGACGGCTGTCTTTGCTGGGTTCTCCACGAGTTCAGGAGGGTTTGCTGTCTATATTGCCCTTTGCATCTTGACCGGTGGATTTGCCTGGCTTCTCTTCCGATGGCTGCCACGATGGCGGGTAAAGTTAGTTGGGAAGGCAACCCCATTAGGAAAATGCCAATGGGTGGCTATTGAGGTAAGATTGTGAACTTCAATCCCATACATTAACCATCTGACCATGGTATCATGGTAGGACCAATGGAACCAATTCACCATCCACAAAGTTGGCAGCCAGCCTTATGGACGTCCGCTTTCCACGGTCTTCGCCGACTCACTGAATCACACCTACGATGAAGATAATGACCCGACTATTACCTCTCTGCACTTCATCGACTATCGATATCTGAAGTTCTTCTATCATCCAATCGAGGATAAATTTTGCTTGATAAGCGGCTGGAAAGATCCTTCGTGGACTAATGCCAAAGTCATGCGAAGTGGATTAGATGCCGATGAACGAGACAGCAGGGAACAGATATTCGGAAGTAACGACATCGAAATTGATGCAAAGACAATTCCTCAGCTTCTCGTCGACGAGGTCAGTTTTCCTTCTAGTTGTTCCATCAATATATCTGACAGTGTATAGGCATTTCATCCTTTTTATATCTTCCAGATTGCAAGTCTCGTTCTGTGGTCCATGGATGAGTACTACTACTACGCCGTCTGTATCTTTCTTATATCGTTTTTCAGCATAGCAACGACTGTGCTAGAGACGAAATCAGTGCGTTCAGCCCAAGAATGGGACCATTATCTGAAACTAACGCTACTATAGACTATGAGTCGGCTCAGGGAGATATCTCTTTTCGAGTGTGATGTTCGCGTTCTAAGAAGTGGATTCTGTGAGTTTGTTCGATGCATCATCTCACCGAATGTAAACTGATTGTATATATAGGGCGGTCCGTTTCCTCCCAAGAACTAGTTCCTGGTGATGTTTATGAATTTTCCGACCCATCGCTTCACCAGGTCCCGTGTGACTGTATCTTGTTGTCAGGTGACTGCATTGTGAATGAGAGCATGCTCACTGGTTCGTAAAAACCCTCAGTATTGATGCATACATCTAACTTGACCAGGTGAATCCGTCCCTGTGTCTAAAACACCACTCACCGATGACGCCATCCAATATCTCGATCTCAGTACCCCTTCTATCCACCCCCATGTTGCTAAACACTTCCTCTTCAGCGGAACCAAAGTAATCCGGGCTAGACGACCCCAGAATGTTGATGACGATGAAGCAGTAGCATTGGCAATTGTCATGAGAACTGGCTTTTCGACAACCAAGGGGGCTCTAGTTCGATCGATGCTTTTTCCGAAACCCTCTGGATTCAAGTTCTACCGAGACTCGTTCCGCTACATCGCCGTGATGGGGATTGTCGCTCTCATCGGATTCGTTGCTTCATTCATTAACTTTGTTCGATTGGGTGTAAGTTAATGCTCGGAACGACGATTTTCCTAAGGTTATGTTGGCCGCTGATGCAACGAAATATAGCTCGCTTGGCATCTGATCATAATTCGAGCCCTCGATCTGATCACGATTGTTGTACCGCCAGCTCTCCCAGCCACACTCACCATCGGAACCAATTTTGCACTTTCACGACTGAAGAAACAGAACATATTCTGTATCAGCCCACAGAAGTGAGTGACCTCCGATGAATAATGTCTTAACTTCGACGCTAATACGTGAGAACAGGGTCAACGTGGGAGGAAAGCTGGACATTGTTTGTTTTGATAAAACAGGAACCCTCACAGAAGACGGACTGGATGTCCTAGGAATGCGTATAGTCACCCGTGCCAATAGGTTTGTCTGTTCCTAAGTATGACCCTTAAGCCGGCGCTGAAGATGAATCTCTAGATTTTCAGACTTGCTCTCTGAGACGAATGACGGGTTTCTTCGTCCTTCCCCCGATGCTAACTCCGAATACGATATCAAAAAGCAAAGGAAGATCATGTACGCCATGGCTACGTGTCATTCCCTTAGGGTAGTGGACAATGAGCTGTTGGGAGATCCTCTCGATGTCAAGATGTTTCAATTTACCAACTGGACGTTTGAGGAGGGAGGGGATCATATTTCTGACCAGACAAGCCCCAAATATGACACTATAGCGCCGTCAGTTGCAAAGCCTCCTCAAGGACAGACTAATGGTGATGTAAATGTGAGTTGATTTATATTCAGGCCACAACTTGATGGCTAACAATATTCAGAACCCACTCGAGCTTGGAGTTCTGCGGAGTTTCGAATTTGTCTCCAATCTTCGCCGCGCAAGTGTCGTTGTCAGGAAATTTGGCGACAACGGAGCAAGTTTCTTTGTCAAGGGTGCTCCAGAAAGCATTATGGACATATGTATTCCTGGAACTCGTCAGTGCTTTCTACGCTCTCTATATAAGCTTGCATTGCTGATATACTTCTTTTGCAGTTCCTTCGGATTATGAAGATCTCCTGAATTACTACACTCACAAGGGATACCGTGTGATTGCCTGTGCTTCCAAATATGAACCAAAATTGAGCTGGAGAAAAGTCCAAAAAATGTCTCGGACGGAAGCCGAATCTGACCTGGAATTCTTGGGTTTCATCATATTCGAGAATAAGTTGAAGCCCAGTACTGCCGGTGTGATTTCCGAGTTGAACGAGGCGGGGATTCGCAATGTAATGTGCACCGGTGATAACATCTTGACTGCCATCAGTGTTGCTCGTGAATGCAACATGCTTGGACGTGATGAGCTATGCTTTATCCCGCACTTTATCGAATGTTTGTTTACCGAATCCATGCCATAGCTCAGTATTAACGATCTCCAGCGCCTGGTCTTGCACCTAAAGCTTCTCTCATATGGGAATGCGTGGACAACTCCGACCTCCGCTTGGACCCAAGAACACTCTTGGTAAGATATATTTTCCCTATATCCAATTATTAGCAGCTAATGGAATTGCAGCCACTCAACGACGCGGAGGTCGACATGTCAATTCCAGGAAACGTTTTCACCGAGCGTGAATACTCTGTTGCTGTCACGGGTGATGCCTTTAGATGGTTGGTTGACTTCGGGAATGAAGATGTACTCAACAAGGTAAGCAGCCGTTGTACTAACCATTACCATTTTTTACCATGCGTCGAACTAATGTGTACTGTATAGGTACTTGTATGCGGCAAAGTGTTTGCCCGTATGTCCCCGGACGAGAAGCACGAACTAGTTGAGAAACTTCAGTCTATTGATTACTGCTGTGGCTTTTGCGGCGATGGTGCCAATGATTGTGGCGCTCTGAAGGCCGCAGATGTTGGTATTTCACTGTCGGACGCCGAGGCGTCCGTTGCCGCACCCTTTACTAGCCGCGTGTTCGAAATCTCTTGTGTTCCGACGGTGATCAGGGAAGGTCGAGCTGCGCTGGTGACAAGTTTCTCCTGTTTCAAGTTCATGAGTCTTTATTCCGCCATTCAATTCTCCTCGGTCAGCTTCCTGTACACGTCGGGGTCAAATCTTGGTGATTTCCAGGTAAGTGGGCTTATTACCAACAGTTTTGATATATCGCTAATGGCCTCAAGTTCCTCTTTATCGATCTTCTGCTCATTATGCCCATTGCGGTCTTCAGTGAGTGGTCTCTCTCCTAAAATCTGAGTCCTCGAGCTAATTTCATTCTAGTGGGCTGGGCTGATCCTGCTCCCACGATGTCTCGGAAACGGCCAACTGCTGATCTTGTTTCCCGTAAGGTATTGACACCTTTGCTCGGGCAGATCTTGCTAGTTGTGCTGTCGCAATTTGCAGTTTTCCAGACCGTTCAATTACAGCCATGGTCAGTAACCGTTACAATATACCCATTAAAATTATTCTAACAAACAATGCAGGTTCTTGCCGCCACAATTGGACAAAGAAAAGAGCAACATTCTCAATTCAGAGAATACTTCTTTGTTCTTGTTTTCCTGTTTCCAGTACATCTTCATCAGCATTGTTCTGAGTGCGGGTCCGCCATTCCGGAAACCAATGACTCAGAATGGTAAGAAGCACACCACTAACTTCCCCTTCTTGCTCATCTAGATACTGACTATGATCGTTTAGTGCCGTACTTATGTACGATCATCGTCAACATCTTGGTCTCGGGCTATATGCTCTTTAGACCATCTAACTGGGTGTCGGAGGTGATGCAACTGACTTTCATGTCTGATGGTTTCAAGTCCTGGCTACTTGCGCTAGCATTCGGAATCTTCGTTTTGTCCTGGACAGCAGAGAAGACCATATTCCCTCGCGTGGCACAGATACTTGGACATACTCGTGCCCGCTTGCAGCAAAACTACCGCAAGAAGCGCAAGATGTACAAAGTGCTGTTGGAGGGACTGCGCCTATGAAGTACGTTATCAACGCATTCACGTTGTACGCTATCAAACCAAAGGTTTTACATAGGGAGGTCGTTTCCCGTCCTTTTCTGCCGTCTACCCACAAAACTAGGAAGGGGAGGGGATATCCATACAAAATAGCTTCTTGAAAGACTAAGAAAGACCACCGTCGGGTCAACTGGATCATGACTTTTTCAATGACATAGGCCGCAAATGCGGCCGACTATTCTTGTACATAACTATAGACCTTTAGATTGTCATAATCTGGATCTAGTCATCTATCTAATGAGGCTCCGTCCCAATCACTCAGGCCATAGTTTACCATTTCAGAAAATTGAAAAGAAAGGGTATGATACAATTCGGCTGGTAAATAGCTATCGTGAACTTGTGGCTTTGACATGCGCTCGGTAACACCCGGCTCGCTGTTCCTCTCTACCTAGTCCAAGTACACAGTACGCAATGCGACCCAACTATCACCGCTGCCCCGAGGGACAAAAGCGGTTGCGCAATAAAAATGAAATCGACGATTATATTCGGATCAGTGGTCCCAAGGGTGCTTCCAGCCCAACAGAGCGGGACCATCCTTCTTGGCCCGGTACATGAGCTGCGCAGAAGTCCTGTCAGTACGAGGTCTCCATGTCAAAAGGAGGCGATCCTTACGAAGAACCACATGCTCGCGCCCAATGCAGTCGCAGTGAAGCGGTAGAGCGGTCGGACCGGGTGGATGTGGATAGGGTGGGAGGAGTTGCCCGCCATGACTGTGTAGATTGGAAAGAAATTAGTTTCCACAGATTCACATGAACAGAGAAAGGTGCATGCAAGACGTACTGTGTGCTGGAAATGGCTGTTGTTTGTTCACAGAACGCCAATCTCGAATCGGATCTGAAGACAGAGGGTTCTGCGGTTCAACGGGGAACGGAGAGGTTGGTAGCACGTGACCCGTGACGGCACTCGAATTCCACCGCAGCGCAGTGTTTGGGTTGTTCGCAAGGACAAGCAGCAGAACAATAATCTATATCGTTATTGAAGAGTCGTCTGACTCCTATTTCACCTATACCTTGACTGGGCTGGTTCCTACTCAGGTTTATATTGAGCCTCCTGCGTGGCCGAGCTCCCCACGCGCGGGCTTTGAACAATGCGAACTCGTCACACATGCTTTGTACTATGATATGGACTTGTCTTATAACACACTCGACGCGCGTGGTTCTCTCCGACAAGGTCCCCGCTGATTCATCTTGACACTTTTCCCACAATCATCTGTCGCCGAAGACTTCTCGAACCCTCCTCCGTGTACCTGAACACAACATCAAACCAAAGCATACCGCAGAGCTTGACGACGGTCGATAATTTTGACACAAGCATCAGATAACTCTTTCTTCCCCCACCGGGGTGGGCGACCAGCTCAAGCGACGAGTCAGCATGGAGATTAAATCTCTGGAAAAGTACGAGAATGGCCAGGCCCGTTTTCCTGGTTGTTCGCACATCCGTGATTATGAATTCCTTGACAAGCTTGGAGAAGGAACATTCGGGTGAGTTCGGCCGCGTTATGACTGCAAGAAACCGTCTGACCGGTTAATAGAGAGGTCTACAAAGCAAGGTCTAAGAAGGACACCAAAATTGTGGCCTTGAAAAAGATCCTCATGCATCACGAGAAAGAAGGCGTAAGTTCACAAGCCCTTTGTTCTTTATTTGCTATATATTGACATTTGGACTAGTTCCCTATTACCGCCATCCGAGAGATCAAACTCATGAAGGCACTCTGCCACCCAAACATTTTGCAGCTCAAGGAGATGTCAATCGAGCGAGGCAAAGGCGAAGGGCGGAAAAAGCCGAGCATGTACATGGTATTTCCATACATGGAACATGACCTGTCTGGGCTCCTGGAAAACCCGGCAGTTCAATTCACCGAACCACAGATCAAATGCTACTTGATGCAACTCCTCGAAGGGCTCAAGTTCATGCACGCAGTACGATCATTTTGAAACACCTTTCCTTGCAATATTTGTCTAACAATTTCACAGAACCGCATCCTACATCGTGATATGAAAGGTGGGTGTTGAATGCTGATATACCATGATTCCGAGCTAACAGAATAAATAGCGGCGAACCTGCTAATTAGCAATGGAGGAATTCTCCAAATCGCTGATTTTGGTCTTGCTCGGCCCTACGATGATGCCCCTCCATTACCCGGAAAAGGAGGTGGAGATTCCAAAAGAGAATACACTGCACTTGTTGTCACGAGATGGTACCGTCCTCCGGAGTTGCTGCTACAGCTGCGGAAATACACTACTGCTATCGACTTGTGGGGAGTTGGGTAAGCTTTCCATCCCTATTAGCCAGGCTTATCATTTTCTAATATTCTATAGATGTGTCTTTGGCGAGATGTTCAAGGGCAAGCCCATCCTTGCTGGAAACAGCGATCTTAACCAAGCAGAACTGATATTCAATCTTGTGGGCACTCCCACCGAGGAGAATATGCCCGGATGGAGTCAACTCCCGGGTTGTGAGGGTGTGAAAAACTTCGCCTACAAACGTGGGAACCTCCACGGAGTCTTCAAGGAGTATGTTATTTTTCCCTCGACGATTTGGGCCCCTAATTAACGATGTAACAGCCTAAACCCGGCCGCTATTTCTCTATTAAGCGAATTCCTCAAATTAGACTGGCGGAAACGCATCAACGCCATGGATGCATTGAAGCACCCATACTTCACCACGCCCCCACTCCCAGCGCGACCCGGCGAAATCCCCCAATTCGCAGATTCCCACGAACTCGACCGAAAGAAGTTCCGCAGCCAGCGCGTGCCAATGCCCCCAGTTCCCCCACCCGTTTCCGACTCAAGCAACGGCGCTTGGCCAAGCTCTGGTTCTCGCGGAGCAGACTCCCGACATGGCCGCATCCCCGGCCCCCCTCGTGGAGGCAGACCAAATATGCCAGGAAATCATGGACACCACCCACCTCACGGAAACCCGCAACGCCGCGGGCCTTTCCCACCTACACAACGAGATATCGGATTACCCCCGCGTCCTCCCGTACCAACCCGCCCGCCGTGGGAAGTACCGCAGTCCAACAGACCTGATGGGAGAGACGATCGCCGAAATCAATCCGGACAAGGGCGCCCAGGACCCAGACCAGGGAACCTGGACTCTTACGTTCCTAACTACAGCAATAGTGACCGTGACCGTGGCAGTGACCGCGGTGAGCGCGGCGACCGCGGCAACGATCGCTCGCGAGACTCTGGTGAGCATGGCTCGCATTCAAACGCCGATTGGCGCTCGACAGGTCGACGTGATTACCGCCGGGATCCTCCATCCCGAAGAAGGAGCCGCAGTCCCGGATTCAGAGATGGGAGTCGAGGCTAGGGTCATGATATCTAGCGAGCTTTCACTTAATGTATTTTACTGAGCCAGTCAGATGGCAGATGAAAATGAAAATGAAAACATTCATGTCATAGCTTTTTCTCTAGTAGATGGTGCGTGGTAATCACAAAATATACACTAAACCGCTTTTACATCAGTCGTATCCAACTCGGTATACTAAGGAGTTGGCAATTGCAACCTTGTAGTATCCCAGGGCCTCGTTGAGAGTGTCCCATGCAATTGAGATTGAGCCCCTATAGGGTTCATCAGTCTTAAGTTGATTAAAGCATTATAGCCCGGGGGCTAGCTTGTTTTTGAATCGGTTGTTTAGTACAACACGCGGGTCATGATGCGAGCTGAAGTGGTGTTAGCTTTTAAGTTCATGCGAAAGAGAAAGGATGTAGTCTTACAAGGAAGGCTCTCGAGTCTGGTATACAAATCCTTGATGGTAGCAGCGTCCACATTGCTGATATCGGCCATCAGGTAGGCAACCTATTAACAGTAAGTTTCTGCGTGGGTTTTTGTATGAGAAACACGGATAAACCTACATCGCCTCTGCTGTCAGTCATCTGCTTGTCGACGTTGTGGTCACCAATAATCTCGTTGACTGTGGCATTGTTAGTTAAAAAGATCACAGCATTCGAATCAAATGTACTCTACCTTTTCTCAACACTCCAGGAATGTTCTTGTGGATGTAGATCACCTAGGCCAAATCAGTATCATTGCAAACCCGACTGACTGCGCGAGAAAACTTACACGAGCGTGGTCAGGCTCATCCATTGTCAAGGAACGGAGGAAAACCTCGGGCAAGTTGACAGCACCAAGGGTCGAACCCTCGTTAGCATATCGGACCAGAGCCTGGGCAACCTCGACACCAATAGCCTTCTGCGCCTCTTCGGTACTTCCTCCGATATGAGGGGTCAGGATAAGGTTTTTGAGCGAGCGCAGGTCAGCTCCCCATGGGTTCAGCTCGCTGTTGAAGTAGTCACCGTTTCCGGCGGGCTCATTGGGATAGACATCCAGAGCGGCACCAGCAACCTTACCGCTGCGCATGGCATCGATCAGTGCGGGGATATCCACAACGGTTCCTCGGCTGGCGTTGATCAAGTAGCTTCCCTTCTTCATCTTCTCGAACTGCGGCTGTCCAATCATGCCCTTGGTCTCGGCAATCTCGGGGACGTGGCAGGTAATGAAATCAGCCTCGGCCAAGAGATCATCCAAGGTTTTCACCTGGCGAGCAGTGCCCAATGACATTATGTTGAGAACATCGTAGTAGATGACTGACATGCCCATTGCCTCAGCCAATACGGACAGCTGGGCACCAATGTGACCGTATCCAATGATACCTGAAAAGTCAGCTAAACAACCCAACAACAGAATGGTTGTAAGAATGCCACATACCGATGGTCTTTCCTCGAATCTCCCAGCAACCGTTGCTCACTTTGTTCCAGGTACCAGCGTGCATCTCGTTGGAGCGGTCGCCCAATTGACGTGCAAGCATGACCATCTCGCCAATGACCAACTCGGCGACACTGCGAGAGTTGCTGAAGGGGGAGTTGAAGACCGCAATACCCTGGTCGGCGGCATATTGGAGGTCGACCTGGTTGGTACCGATACAGAAGCAACCGATGACGATCAGGTTCTTTGCTTCCTTCAAGACTCGTGCGGTGAGCTTTGTCTTGGAGCGAATACCAATGACGTGGACATCCCTGAAAGGCAACAGAATTCATGAGCCAAGTGAGTCACCGATAGAGAGTTAAATTGCGACTCACCGAATCTTCTCAATGAGCTGATCCTCCGAGAGTGAAGACTTCAGGAATTCCACCTGGTAGCCTTGCTGGGACAGGATATCACGGCCAGTTTGGTTGACATTCTCCAAGAGCAGGACCTTGATATCTTCTGTGGCGAATGGCTTCAGAGGCTTAGCATTGACTGGAATTGTACGGTTCAGGACAGAGCTGTGGCTGGATGGGGAGTGGAAGGAGGCGTTGGGGGAGGTAGCGAGGAAGGAATCGTCCTGACGAGGACGGATATCTCTTGCGATTGACATGATTGAAGTGTGTAGCAGATTGTAGCAGATTGAAGAGAAAGAAGCAGGGAAGAGGAGGATGGGGATATGATTCATATGGGATGACTCTTAATAGAAATTAAGTAAGCCTCCAAGGTCTCCGGAATCGGACTTGATGATTTTTTTGGTTTCGGGGACTTACCATTTGCACTACATACCTACACTGACTTCATATAGCTATTACTATCGATTGATTCTATTTATATAATTAAATAGATGTTGAGATATACTATTCTGCATATAATCTCTCTGTTCTCTCTGTATCCTATGGAGGGGCACCGCGGGGCAAAGACTTTTTCTTTTTTTTAATTCAAAGTTTTGACTAATCACATGCAGATCACATGTTTATTGCATGAGCTTATCTGCTTTAGGCAAGGGCGGCGAAAGATGATGTAGTATTTACCGGTAGATTGAAAATCAACTCACGAGTTTACCTAGATATAACTCACAACTTGCAGCTACTCCGTACTCGAATCCAATGTTCGTAAATAGTTCCCACCTTTATCTACGTGACAATCATACTAACATGACTTAGAACATGGCGGACCGCAAGACCATGCCGAAAATCTCGTTGCTGGGATTAGATCCGTTACAAATGTTCGATTCCTTTGGAAACTTCAAGCCTGTTCGGAATTACCAAGACGAGAACAAGCGACTCTTTGAGTACGGCAGGGGTCTTCAAATACCTTCGAGGCTCTTTGCGACGATCATACAACTCGAATATTTTTCACGGGTGACCAGACAATCCCATGAACGGTTAGAAAAGGACTTTAGATCACTAAAAGATCCCACCAAGGACGAAATTCAAGTATATGAGAGCGACCTCGAGGATATCAAAGAGGTTACGTGGAACATAGCACAGGCCTTATACAATACGGAAAGTATGCTTCCCCAAAGACCGTTGAGAAAGATATATGATGAGATCCGACAGAACCCTGCTTGGTATCTTCGAAAAGAGCTTATTCAGGCTTGTATGAGGAGGGGTGGCTGCTGTGGTCGAAGCTGTGGCTGTTGCGAAAAGCGCTGTCTAGCTAAGGGCAGGGGTATCGGGCACTGTACGACTGAGTGTTGGTGCTGTGAAGCTACTCGTGGTCATCCAGTAACCGAGGAGGAAGATTTGGAGGATGGCTTGAACAGCGAAAATCCCTCCCATCTTTTAACAATGACAGAGGCCTATTTCTCTAAGCCGGGTATATTTGGGCTTGGAAAGCTGACAACGATGAGATCAGTAGTGTGGTATTGGAAAAAGGCATTCCCTTGGCGGTTGGAAAGAGGCTCCAAGTGATTCGAGTCTTGAAAATTGCTTGCAGTTTGGAGCCAAGTCCTACAATTGCTCGATATTTGTGAACTCCAGTGTTGTTATATTGGTTTGTTTGCTAGTTATATTATGTTGCTGCTTTGGCTATCTAATTCAGAATAATATTTAAGATCTGAATCACATTTTACGCCTTTTTCACCCTATATACTACATTTTGTGGCAGATTCTTCTTACCCTCACTCACAATTCTGAGTCCTTGCTCCTTAACCTGTCTTTGGCCTTGAGTTTTGACTTCCATGGAGGAATGACACAGTATAGAAAAGAGGATTGAACTTGCGTTAGCTTCAAAGGAGAAGTTTGGATCAGGGGACTTAGCCGATGCCTTCCTTCCAGAAAACACACAGTCTAGAGAGCTTTTTATATTTGATTCATTTAGTTTAATATGATCTTCGGGATATCTTTTTGAATGTCTTTGTTAAACCAACTATGTTGTAGGGATTCTTCTGGAGTCTTCTTAAATAGAAAAATCCTTAATATATGCATCCTTTGTCAAATAGATCAGATTATCAAAGCCCTACGTTGTCAAGGACAGAGGCAGGATGCAGGGCCGACTATTCCTGTGTACGTATGCCTGTAAATCATGAACTAAACCATCGTAATTTGTAATTTGTATCTCAAGGTACATCGTGGGATATCTCCTTAAACCTGAAGACCTTGCATCTTTTTGGTGGCATCATCGGTGCCCTTGCTGGCCTTCCCCTTGGCCTTGGTGGATGTGCTATCCTTGGGAAGCTCCTTGGTGTAAGGGAGGAACTCAGGAGCACCGGGAATGTATTTCCGCAGGACCTCTGGGACCACGATACCCTAAATGATAGTTAGCTACTGTCAGATTCACCCGGTGACCTTTCGACACTTACATCTTCTTTCTGGTAGTTCTCGAGCACACAGCAGAGAGTACGCTCCGTCGCGCACAGGGTGGAGTTCAGCGCATGGACATAGGTTTTCTTCAGATCGGTGGTCTTCTTCACGCCGTACCGGATCTCCAGAGCGCGGGACTGGTAGTCGGTACAGTTGGAGCAAGAGACGAGCTCCTTGTACTCCTGCTGGAATGGGAACCAGGCCTCCAAGTCGTACTTCTTGGATGCTGCATTGTTCAAGGCGCCGGAGACAATGGCGACAATGTTGTAAGGGAGTTTTAGGGACTGGTAGAATTCTTCAGAAGTGCTGATCATGTCCTCAAAGGCTTGCCATGAATCCTCGGGCTTAGTAAGAACGAACTGCTCAATCTGCATGGGGTTAGAACACGAAAATCCAGGGCATTTGGATCTATGCTAACCTTTTCGAATTGGTGAACACGGAAGATGCCCCAGGCATCTTTGCCGTGAGATCCAGCCTCCTTGCGGTAGCATGTGCTGTAACCGGCATACCTGTTTCTCTTATCAGCAAAAGGGCTTAGTCCTGTGCGAGATGAGTGGCTTACTTAATGGGTAGTTCCTTGTCCTGGAGCCACTCGCTGTCGTGCAGGGCAGACAATGGTTGTTCGGAGGTAGCAATGAGGTACTTATCGGTCGACTTATCCTCGCTCTCGGTAACCTTATACAACTCTTCGTCGAATTGCTCGAGCTGCGCAGTCTTCGCCATGAGATCCTTGAGCATGAATTGAGGGGGCTGATTGGGCGTGTAGCCCTTGTTGAAGAGGAACTCCAGACCATAGTTGACCAAAGCCAAGTTGAGGAAAAGACCGTATCCAGTCAAGCAGTATCCACGGTGACCAACAATCTTGACACCACGCTCTGGGTCATATCCATCGAGACGAGTCAACACTTCGTGGTGGGAGAGGCAACCTGGCTTCTGCATTTCGGCGTTCTCGGGGGTCCATGTTTTGATCAGCTGGTTGTCTGCCTGTAGCCAGAAATAGACTTGTTAGTCTCACAGCGCATTCAATTCCCAGGCGACTTGATAACCCATACCTCATCGTTGCTCACGGGCACGGATTCGTGGACGTAGTTTCCAATCGTGCGAATCTTTCGGTCGCGTTGAAGCTCCTTGGCGACAGCAGTTTCCTCAAGCTCCTTCTTCTTAATCTCAAGCTCTGCCTTTTGTGCGAGCAATTCGGTTGCGTCTTCCTTGTTCTGAGAACGCATAAGCATCTCCCCATACTCTAGACTAGCTAGAAAATGCCTACCTTCTTCTTCATTCCAATTGCCTTCTGGACTCCATTGATTTGAGAACCGAACTGTGTGACCTCATATCGGGCTGTACCTGTCAGTAAGATTTCGCTAGTCTTTTAAAAAAATAGAGATCATACCGCGTCGTGCCTCTTCATAGAGCGCGACAACTTCATCAACGGTCTCCTCTGGAGCAAATCGCTTCTGCTGGCTCTCCTTGATCTTCTTGATATCACCACCGCGCTCAGTGACAAAGTCGGCGAGGTCCAGCATATTGACGATTGGAGTTCAGAGGTTCAGGGGAGTCTAAGTGGTAGAGGGGTGACTCAAATTGTGGAGGGGTAAAAACGAGGAAAATCAAAGTGCGTGCCTCCACGCACTTGGGCCTCAAGGGGTCGCATTACTTAATCGATAAGGATTCCCCGGTTTACTTCCGAACAGGCTAGTTATGGCCACGGATGGTTCTATAGATCAAGAGATTCAACACTTTGAATACTTCGAGAAGCCTGTTTCAATTGAGATTCATTACTCTATGCATGGTACCGATCCATGTTCCATAATTCGACCCTAAAACTCATTATTCATGCAATAACCCCGGTGGTTCAGAAAGACGCAATAGAAATAGGGCCAAAGAGAAGAGGAAGGCCTCGAGAAGAAGCCATCAAGCTTGTTATCAAATTGGCGTTGATGATCTCTAAGTCAATAATCGAGTTAGCAAACAAGATATCCGTAGATCTGAATTGGGTGGACATCAAAAGAGCAAGATATAGTGTTGTCAGCTCCGATGAAAGAGATCTCCACGTTTCTTGACTCATGGATCCAGAGATCCAGAGATGGCTTCGCTTACCATCCCCGGGAGAGAGACACACGCGTTCCGGTAGAAGGCTCCCGTATTACATCACAGCGCACTTGTTGTCGCCGGTTGGTTGGGAGGGGTTCTGAGACTTCTCGACCTCTCCGATCATGAGGTCAAAGGCCTTCGAGACATTGAAATCAAGGAAGGCGCTAGCCTCGGTGAAAGCACAGTGAAGCTCCTCCGCTAACTGACGTCCGTCTTCGAGGGTGACTTGGCGGTGATCGGGTTTGAGATCACTCTTGTTTCCTACTATGACAAGAGGTACATCATCCGCTCCCTAGAGGAAATAGGAAATATTAGACGCTGGTTCGTAAGTACTGGTTGTGAGAACGGCAGTGACTGACGAGGTGGTTCAGGATCTTGTCACGAATCACCCGGACCATGTCAAATGACTGGCGCGATGCCACTGAATAGACGATGATATATCCATGAATTCCAATGAAATGCTTGGAGTTCAAGATACTATACTCGTCCTGTAGAATGAATAGTCTCAGTAAACAGCCGGTAATCTCGCACAGGGTTCACCTACCTGCCCCGCAGTGTCGACGATCTCAGTGGCGTAGTCCTGGCCATTGTGCTTGATAATCCGGCTGAATGTGTTCTCAATTGTAGGGTAGTAGCTTTCCACGAAGTGGTGCTCGACAAAGCGAACCGTGAGGGAAGATTTTCCTATCCAAGATAAGTGTTAGCTCTTCGCAATTACAGAGATTTGGGTTGTGAAAAAGGTGCTCTTTCTTACCCACGGAGCGACTGCCAACGATTGCGATCTTTCTCTGCTTAGGCGCGGAAGGCATCTTGTGTAGTGCGGTAAGATTCAGCTAGACCACCAATGTGAATGAGAGATATTGATGATGATAAAGTCAGATAGACAGTATCTTTTGATTGATGGAACTGGATCAATGAGATATTCAGAGACACATGTTCAGAAACGAGGTCGCCGGGGGGTGGCAAATCCCTCGAAGCATGCGGAGCTCCAACTCCTTGTGACCTGCAAACAATGCAAACGGCAGTTTCTCCAACTCCACTTAGGCAGGGCTGAGCGCTCTATAAATAATTGCCTACGTGTAGGTCCACAGGGTCTATGACCATCGATTTGATATTCTTTATAAAATTACTGTATTAGAAAAACTACTGAATCCTACTTTTTTTGAACATTGAGGTCTGGTTTGACCTGAGGTCATTATCTTACGACGATCTCAATGATGGACATCTGCCCAGGTGGATATTGAATGTAGGACATTTCAGCGTAAATGGTTCAATTAAAAGTGATGATGGAAGGGGTATCAAAAGCTGCCAGCAGACCAAGAAATCCACGTCATCGAGTCTGAAGAAATGCCGGTAGAAGAAGACCAAGCGCGCACTTATCTGCCGTCAAGCAAAACATGGATAGACGCTCCTCATTGCTCTGCCAACCGAATCCGAGTGACAAGTTCTTGTAATCTGGATAAGAAACCACTCGCCGGTTGTCCTTGAGTTGGGAAAGTGGAGGTTTCTTGTTCAATCTTCTGATGGTATTGCAGGAATTCATCAACGGTAGATATCACCACTGCTAATCCATTAGGAGCGAGTGAGCTCTTGATTTTGGATCGGGTATCAGGATCCAAATTGAGTGTAAGTAACAGGACGGCCAAATATCCCACGGCAACATTGTGGTGTACTTCCAAGACCGAATGAGCCTAAGCAGATCCAGTTAGTTCAATGCGTCGGCAAAATGCGAAATCAAAAAAGATCAAAAGCTTACCGTGGAGATGGAATCGACATGAGTCATGAATAAATGCAACAATTGATCAAGGAAAGGCTTCGAGGAACCAGCAGAGTGAAGAAAAATCGTTCTTGATGCTTCACTCTGTTCAGTAAGATTGATAAGTGCGCCGAGCGCCAATATCACGCTGTCCAGAGAATTATTCGCTTGTCCAAGCGCATCTTCGGTCAAGTCACCAAAGTTCGCAGAGACAATCCGGACTAGCCCCCCAACTATCTCCGAGTTTGCAAATCTATCACAGAAGGAGGGGTTGCTGTTGGTCACATTCAAGATAAGTCGAATGTAAAGGGGTTGTATTTGGCTGACAGTGCCCGACTCCAAGGAGAGCAGGCTATGAAGTTCAGAGAGCGGACCTAGAATATCCCATTGCTCTTTTGTGAGCGATTCAGCCAATGCAGTAGAAGCTTCCAAGATTGAAAAGCCCATGCACAGTATTTGAGAGCTCTCCGGGTGTAATTTTTCCAATGAAACACAACGCTGGCTTTCGGACACGAGCACTTGAACCAAAGGTTTCAGAAGAGATGTGGAGAGGCTAGGGTTCTTTCCCTTGGTTTGCATCGTGGAGATCGTCGACCTCAGGCAATACAACGCCAGAGTGCATGGGGACAGCTTCGACGATGCGGTATCGGGAAAAAGCACAGCGGATATCTGTGGAATAGTGCCCTGGATTGTATTTTGCAAGTGCCGGGGAAGGCCGCTGGCTTTAGCTCTTGCGGTCACTAGTATATCGTCTTGCATGCCCAATAAGGCAGGCGAAGCACTCAGGAGCTTAGGCCATGCGGAAGTTGCAAGAACATAAGACATGTGCCCATCCGATGATCCCAGTGCGTAGGCACAGAAAGCTAGAATAGTGGGGACCACTTGAAGATCCATAGATAGACAATCCACAAGCCTTTTGTCAAAATTGCACTCGACAAACCGCCGTCTGAGACCAGTATCCAGAAGTTTACCACACAGTTGGAGAATTGCATTGCATCGACCCGTCAATGAGTTTTGCGGATCTTCGATATCCTCAAAGATAGATTCGACGGCGCCTCGGTAACGAGCGTTTCCCCCAGCTTGTCTGAGCTCATGAATACTTCGGACAGATCCATCCTCGTTGGTATCCTCAATTGGCACGATTAAACGGGCACTGGAAGTAGCCTCGTAATTCAACTGACGTTGGACAGACTGAGAGCGGTGCTTTGGGCCAGAGGGAGCATCCTGCATAGAAGGGTCCTCTGACATAACCATGTCATCCAAAAAAGAACGCTGGCGGGCATAGGTGACGCGGGAACCTCGTAAATGAGATGGCACCGAGGCAGGAGATCCTTGAATTTGGCTTTCGGCAGGACACTCATTCACAGCTGCACTTGGCGAAGCTCGGTCAACGGGGGCTGGATCTCGAGACGGCTGACTACTAGAGGGACTCTCCGGTGATGTTTCAATCGCTGGAGATGTTTCAACCGTGTGTTCCGTGATCCCGAGCGAATCAATCAGCCTCCTTCGACCAGGGGTGGTGTTCGCTTTAGTGGCATAGCCCTGGTTGACGTCCGGTGAGCTCTTTCGCACGGACTCTCCGTCCCCAAAGCTCCCTTCGGTTGAAATTTCCATTTCATTCTCGAGAGTAGATACCTTGGTCTGGTTCCGCACAGACCTCCTAGCCCTTGAATACGACGTTGACCCCGCGGGGTTTGTCTGCTGATCGGCTTCTGGCTTTTTGGCTAATGGCCACCGACTATTGGGAACCCTCTTCTCCATTTGTGGTGACACCTTACGATCTCTCATTTCTGTCTCATTTGGCTTCACGGATGGCTTCGTCACAGGAATGGCTTTGTTTCCATCGGGGCTATATCGCCTTCGCTTTCTCTGGACCATATACATATGTTCATCGTCTGAAGAGGGCAAGTCATACACATTAGGTTCCATAATAGGTTTTGATTGCGTAAGACTTCGCGTCGTGGTCATTTTTTCCGATCCAGACGGTTGTTTATCTCCATTCTTGTCGCGCTGTAACCTGGTGTGGAAGGGCCGTGAGAGACGTGACGACTTGGGCAAAGGCATATCTTTAGGAGTTGTTTTAGCGGCAGATGAGTGTACAGGCCTTTCGTTATTCAACGGGGGTTGGCTTTTGGCAGCAGAGCCGTAGGTTACGAGTCGTCGATTGCGAGGGTGTGAGTTCTCCATCTTCGGTTCACAAACCGTGCGAAACCAGATGCGCACGCGTTGTTTGATGAATTCGATGGCGAAATACGTTTCTCAGAGGGCAATCAAGGTTTGGCGATGGGCAATTGGGTTATTGGATTGAGTAAAACGTAGTCGTTTCTTGAAATAGCCATGTCCTTGCGTGTTCAATGAAGCTTACACACGCCCAAAGGGTGTGGCACAGTCATCAAAGGAGTGACCCCTAGGTGATTGGCAATGAGGCGCGTAGATTACCTAGGCAATTTCCTTTGAGAAGATCGCGTAATAGAATAATTGAGCACATCCGAGGTCTGGGGGTTTGATTGGGGAGATGATGCAGGTGATAAGAGGCCGAGGGGGGTGAGATGGGGCAGAATCACCCACTGCGGTATAGCTTCCAGATATAGCAAAAAAGATAAGAAAACCCTCTGCTTCCCCGCTCTTGGCTTTGAGACAACTCACTGTCCTTATATACCCCTCTCTGGACTCTTGTCCTTCTACTTTGAGCTACTTGTACTTGTCTTAGGTGAACTTGCGTACTCCAATCTTTTTTCTCTTTGTTCTAGTCCTACGACCCACATACACACACGCACACACATCTTTGGACGCAACAAAATCATGGCTAGCAAACCCGAGAGCGGTCCTTCTCCTGCACAGGGCGTTGGTCCTTTGTATCGGCCCGATGGCGAGAAGCCCACTGCGACAGTCTCAAAGGAAGTCTCCTACGAGAATGTGCACGTGCTACCTCAAACACCCCAGTTGATTGCTCTCTTGACGTGAGGACCCATTTCTACATGGAAGGTAACCCTAGACTCATGTTTTGTACTACAAATAGGATGATCAGAGATAAGAGAACCTGCCGTGCCGATTTCATCTTCTATTCTAACCGCATCATTCGATTGCTGGTGGAGGAAGGCTTGAACCACCTTCCCGTTGTTGAGCAGTCTATCACTACCCCCGTTGGACGGTCCTACCTCGGTGTCAAATTCGAAGGAAAGATCTGTGGTGTGTCGATCATGCGTGCAGGCGAGGCCATGGAACAAGGATTGCGCGACTGCTGCCGATCTGTTCGCATTGGGAAAATCCTCATCCAGCGGGACGAGGAAACTTGCATGCCCAAACTGTTTTACGATAAGCTCCCTACTGACATTGCTGATCGATGGGTCCTTCTCCTCGACCCCATGTTTGCAACTGGTGAGCTGAGCTTGTTGTACAATGCCCCTTGCCACCCAGCTGATTTTTTTCCTAGGTGGTTCCGCAACATTGGCCGTGGAGACACTGATCGAGAGAGGCGTCCCTGAACACCGGATCCTATTCCTTAACCTCATTGCCAGCCCGTCGGGCGTTGCTGAGTTCGCGGAGAGATTCCCTAAACTTCGGGTTGTGACCTCTTTCATTGATCAAGGATTGGATGAGAAGAAGTGAGAATATCGCACCCCTTGGATGTTGTGATTGACATGCTGACTGATTGATAGGTATATTATCCCCGGCCTGGGAGATTTCGGCGACAGATATTACTCTATGTAAAAGTCATGTTTCCTACCACGTTGATGGTTAAAAGGTCACCCGGAAATTCTGAGAAATTCAGTATTCCATTATCCATCCATTGCTTGGTCTGTTCCAGGTGCCGTAAGGCACTTCCACTTCCCATACAAGTCACCTATTCAGAGTTGACTTGATGGCCGGTAGTGGGGTAGAGGTCTAGATGGGTGAGACGCTTCTTGGGGTTTAGGCTATATGATAAACATATGCAACAAGAATATGCCGCAAGAATATCAAATACCGTGTACATACAAGAATCTCACAACTCGACTATTGTTGATATCGTGCCTTAATGCGCCGTTCGCCGTCATCCCATGATCAGTATTCATCATCATCGTAGCCATCGTCCTGCCCAGTCTCTCCAGATATGCCCTGCTTGCTGATCCCTCTCTGTCCCAAGTGACTAGAAACCGGTGCATCATACTGATTGGCAGTGTCCTTCGCAACTGCATCACATGCATCTACCCAATCTGAATACACATCCACGGGAGCAGAAAGATCTTTGAAGCATTGTGTTAGTCAAACCAGTTACGACTGATGCCTTAGGCCGAATTATCGACTCACAATTGATACCGGTTTGGAACTTTTGACCACAAACTTTGCACGATAGATCGCCAAGGCCAAGCTTCTTGTCTAGCTTGACGACCACAGAGTTCTCATGGTTGCAAAAGAGACAGGAGAATGTGGTAGCAAGAGGCTCCCTCTATATTTCACAGTCAGTACTGGGTGTAAAGCCTGGCGACTTGTGAATCGTTTACCTTCTTAGGCCCTTGGGGCTTGGAGCTTGACTTCTTGCGCTTGCCCTGTTTAAATTAACATCTATCCACGGTCGGGGGGGTCGGGCGGGTCAGGGCAGTCGGGGAAGGAAATTCGATAGCACGTACCATGATTGGCTTAACCTGCGACAAAGTTGAAATATAAGAAGGGATGAGAGGAAAGTTGAAGCAATGAGGAGCGTTGACTCGCGCGGGAGTAGGCCCGCGGAATGGATGCCAAGGCGACTTGCCTAGTTTGGAGTCGGAACAATAAGTCTCCAGCTTCCGATAGGTGATGTCAGTTAGTGGCGATTTCCACGAAGTGATCTACATTATATAAAACAATAGAATATTGAATGGAAATTTCTATGTTGGCTAATTCGAAACTTTGGAGGACTCGATGCGGATTGGAGGAAAGAGGATTGGTTTTGGCAAATGGCATAAAACCAATCTGATACATAGGCATACAAGTATGTATACACATGTAGAGTGTATAGCATTTCAAACGAACGCTATTGTAACAGCCAACAATCTACGGAGTACATTCTTGTAATAATACAACGCAAAGTGATCTGACAAGTATGAATGTTACTGTAATGCAATGCAATGGCCCGACTCACGATGATGACATAATGTGATTACATAATGATAATCCAGTGGAACCTTTTTTAAATGTTCGATCACATGACGATGGTTCATGACATAATCAGCTAGGGCCCGCGCCTCGCTTAGCCGAGTTTTCTGTGGGTTTTCAACCCTCCCAGTCGAGTGTCGAAACCCTCTGAGCGCGCGGTGCGATACCTTTGTCTGTCCTCCAACAACACACAGATAACTCGCAATCATGGCTGTTGGAAAGTAAGCGCCCTACTCTCCATCCTTTTCCTGCTTTCAATTTATCGAATTACTTGCGCATCTACGACATCCATTCAATTCACGAACACACGGCTAATCCTCATCGTTCAGGAACAAGCGCCTATCTAAGGGTAAGAAGGGTATCAAGAAGCGCACAGTCGACCCCTTCACTCGCAAGGACGAGTACTCTGTGAAGGTTCGTTATATTCCTTCCCCCGTCCCGTACCCAATGCTAATCGTGTCGACAGGCTCCTTCCACCTTCCAGACTCGCGAGTATGCACACCACCCGAATCGAACATGGCGAATTTAGAGTTGGATTGGCTAACGGAATTATCAGTGTCGGCAAGACTCTGGTCAACCGCACCAGCGGTTTGAAGAACGCCAACGACTCCCTCAAGGGCCGTATCTTCGAGGTCTCCCTCGCCGACCTCCAGAACGATGAGGACCACGCCTTCCGCAAGGTCAAGCTCCGCGTCGACGAGATCCAGGGCAAGAACTGCCTGACCAACTTCCACGGTCTCGACTTCACCACCGACAAGCTCCGTTCTCTTGTCCGCAAGTGGCAGACTCTGATTGAGGCCAACATCACCGTGAAGACCACTGACGACTACCTCCTCCGCCTGTTCGCCATTGCCTTCACCAAGAGACGCCCCAACCAGATCAAGAAGACCACCTACGCCGCTTCGTCCCAGATCCGTGCCATTCGCAAGAAGATGACCGAGATCATTCAGCGCGAGGCTTCCACCTGCACTCTGTCTCAGCTCACCCACAAGCTCATCCCCGAGGTTATTGGACGTGAGATCGAGAAGTCCACCCAGGGCATCTACCCCCTGCAGAATGTTCGTTTTTCCCCCCACAAAACCTGGAGAGTGGCATACGTACGGATTGCTAACACATGTCTACAGGTCCACATTCGCAAGGTTAAGCTCCTGAAGTCTCCCAAGTTCGACCTCGGTGCTCTCCTGTCTCTGCACGGAGAGTCCGCCACTGATGACAAGGGCCAGAAGGTTGAGCGGGAGTTCAAGGAGACCGTCCTCGAGAATGTTTAAAGGTTATGTCAATGAAGTGGTGTTACGTACTGGTCAGCCTGGGCAAATCATTGTCTTCTGGTCATAGGAAAAGAAAAAAGTTCAAATATGTATGACAGATTTGAACCGGCGTTTAGCTACGCGTAGCCAGTCTCAGACATGATCCCAAAAATTCAAGGGTAGTAGTTCATTCATGTTCAATCCTTTTCAGTTTGCTACCGTGTAGTAGTATGCTTGTTGGGAGCGTGATGCTTAGTCCAACTATATGCCCTCGCCCCCAGCAATGTACCTCATTCGCCCCATAATATATACATACTCGGTTCATCTTCCGTGTGTCTAGTACCAAATGTGGGGAGACAGGTCAGTTCTAGCCCTGTCGTCGGTCTAATCTTGATCTCAAATGAATGATCCCCGTCCTAGTGCTATGTTCCAAATTCTGATGTGGGTAAATTCACTACATATGGATACAATAACACTGTCAACTGCCATCTATCATTGCGGAGCATCCGAGGTCTTAGGCCTTGAGGACGAAAACAATTGTATTAAAGTGGGTGTATTATTGAAGCTATTCATTCTTAGTGGATACGTTTGATAGGCTCCTATGCTCCGCTCTCCCGCTAGTGCCGGGAGGTTATGTACGATCTCTGAGAATACATTCTTTTTCATGCTGAGCTCCTTCATAAGCCAAGGATGTAATATGAGACTGGGGAAAGGGGAAATATAACTATAAATATTCAAAGATCATAACATAGCATTATGTAGTGCTAGTGAAGCTATATCTACTTATATTACTCACAATAGTTAAGCAATTGTAAACAATATACAATCAGGACCTGGTTGAGTGGACAGAATACGTAATCTCAGAAGGAGAATACCGATATAAATATGTCATATCAGACTATGCCTACTGAATCGACATGCTAGTTAAACTCAAAGGCAGGAAGTGAGTGCTTCTTATATAGCATTGGTTGCATAGTTGCTTGGCCTTGAGTCGACAATTCAAAGAAAGAACAAGAAATACATGCCTGTTTTCCTTTCATCAAGACTGTTTGTATATCTCGACGATGTTTAGACGAAATAAGGTTGGTGGAGCCCCCATTAGTCCAACCCCCGCACTCTCTAGGGGTATGAGGTCACGAGTCCTACGCCCCCCTCTCGGATTGCATGATATCTGGTGCTCTCATGTTTCTTGTTTTCCTCATTTCCCATCTCTCCTTGAACACAATTCCTCATCTACCATCACATCAAATACCATCGACAACAGTAAGCTTCTACCGTGAAAGATATACTTCTATACCTTGGCATCAAACCATACCTATATACTTGCCATCTCAATTCCCCAGTGAACATTCCACTAACCCAACGACTCAACTCCTAGTGACTCGTTCCCACAAAATGAACGATCGCGAACACCAAGTCGAAAGCGCGACGGGACCCCGTGAAAACATCCCACGCTACTTCGCCAAGTCCGGCCCAACTGACGCTGATCCGCGCAAGACAAAGAAGGACGGGGGCGGCAAAGGCAATTGGTAATTCCTGCGCGTCAGAATAAAGCGTGTGCAGCTGGCTAATGCTATTTCTCTCGCTACAGGGGCCGATCGGGCGACGAAATGCAAGACACTGACTACTCGTTCGCCAATGCCAGGCGTCGCTCCAACAGCAGCACCCAAGGTCTGGCCGACTTCAACACTAAGTTCGAGGCTATTGACCCAGAGCCGGTGTTCGAGGAAGAGATCCTTGGTGAAGCTGATGTGGCTGCCGGGAATGATAATCCCGTGACCAAGGTCGATACTGTCAGCAGCAACGATAGCGAGGCTGATCGTGAGGGCAGGAAGTATTAAAGAGTCTCGGCTGGCGCTGTGACGACTTGAGCTTCCGATATTTGGATGGCGAGTAAGTCGAACGTGAACAAGGTAAATTCTAGGGATCATATCGTGACTCCATGACTCGGTGGTTCCCCGAACCAGTATCTATTGCATGGGATTCTGAGAAAACAAACTAAATCAAACATGACTTTCATATTTCACTAAAAATGAGGGTCATCAAGTACAACGTAGCTTTAGGGCCTTTCTTACTGAAGCTTGAACAATTGAAATATCTCTTGAGATTTCATACATACAACATATTATGACCCATCGGCCACCGGATAACCGAGTGATAATATTGAAAACGCCGCCATTTCATCCGCCACCCGTGTCAATTGTAGAGAAAATTCAATCATTTGCTCCAGCAATTTCACCGTCAATCATAGGCGGTCTATTTGGGAGGAGATATATGGACCTCAGCAGTTTCCCGGAGGTTTTGGAACCAGAAATCAAGTTTTCCGACATCAATGCACTGGCGCAAAATATCATTCTCGGTCTGAAGATCGGCTGCCACACGAGCTTTTTGCTCTGGGCGGAACCGTGACACAAGAATATCGGAATCGGAATCGGTCATCAGAGCCTCCGCGGGCGAGAGAGCTGTGTAAACAGAGTGTGGACCAGCATTTCGAGGTTCTAAATATAGTACGTTAGTTAGCTCGATAGTCCAAGTGCTTATATTCGGAACAAACTCACCTTCCAAGCATGCAGTAAGTGATCGGTAGAGCGCCGTGTCGGCGACCGAGTTGTGTGCATCGCCATTGGGCCCCTCGGCAGCTTTTCCCCGAGCTACCCAATCATCTTTGATCAAGCACCGTCGCCAGATCAACCTCTGTAGAGCCATGAGATAGGCGGGATCTCGCTGGCCATAGCGTCCGTAATCAAGAACCTGCAATGCGAGGTGGAACTCGCTTCGTACAATCTCGCTCTCGCTGTCATCTGCGAGCTGAGTAGGGCCCATCAACGTCAAGATATCAATCAGGCCATCGGCACCGACAACCTGCCTGTCGATCAAGGTAGAGAGAGCGTCGCTTAAGATTTCATGGAGCGATGGCCGATCTTCGAAGATATGTTCTCCATACTGACCGAGAGCTAGTTCAAGTTCTGCCTTTTCGTCAATGGCACCTTGCAGTACAGGCTCAACATACTGATAGAGAATGTCTTGAATTCCATCGACCTCAACGTAATCCTCAAGACGCTTCAAATCCTCTTGCAAAGTAGAAGCCACAACGGGTGAATCCATTTGCTCCTGCGTCGCTAGTTTGCCTAGCTTGGCTATCGAGATCTCTACACGGTGGCTCCACAAGTCCTTTTCACTGCCAATCGCTAGATTCTCCAATGAGACTGCGGCAGTGTCATAATCGTTTTCACCAATGACATCGTTAATCCAGCTTAAGCGAGAATATGCGGGGTTACTTCGAAGGAATCGAGTGACGGCGGATTGGTATTTCCGCATCGTAAACAGCGTTCCTGGATAACCCATAGCAATTTGCCGGGAGAAGTATGCATCCGCCCATAGGTCACCAAACTTGTCGAAATACTTGGCGATCAATTGATCCGCATCGATCTCAGTTTGAGTCGTGGAAACGTCAATTGGTGGCTCTGCGCGCGGATTTTGAGTTGCTTTTTGGTCCTGGAGCTCGATGATTAACTCGACCAATGCTCCCATGTCTCGGAAGCTTTCTGCTAATTCGATGGCATCGGCGAGATGGCCGATACCAGCCAGCTTGAAGAGTTGCCATTTGCGGTCTTCGACGTGGGCCTGCTCAATCGAGACACTTTCATCCATTAGCTTGGGATCTCCTTGCGCAGAGAGCCATCGAGTCCGCTCGAGATGCATTTGACCGATCACGCGAAGGTGTCGATAGCTGTTTCTCGCAACTTGATTCAAAACATGTGTGTCAGGGGTATCAGCAGCCGATGCGGGTGTTATCCATGACCGGCAACTATCCAGTTCTAAATCGAGTAGATGCCCTGCTTCAGAGTAACCAACAGCTCTTGATGTCCAGAACTCGGGGAGATCTTCATATCCATCAGAAAGCACACCATCCTCCAGGAAGTCTCCATGAAGACCATAAAGTGCAACGTGCTCATCGCGATATCTGAAAGCAGTTTCGGTGACCGCCAGAAAAAGCTCACTCGCCGCCAGGATCTTCTCTGACAATGCGCGCGCAGGGTTGGAGGTATTGCCCCGACCGGACTTGATTGCGTTCTTGATCCATGGGATGATATGCTCCATGCGATAAGAATCCCTCAGGAACCATTGACGCACCGGATCAGTCTCTCCGTGTTGGGCGTTGATTGGAGTCTTGAATTTTTCGTGCATAGATCCAATGACATGACCGAGGAAAGTTTCTTCGTCTCCATTTTTTGTCTTGCAGGCCTCTTGAATCTTCCACATAGCTCGTTGTGCTGCAATTTTTTCAGCAGCCCACAGCAACTCCCACTTTGCCGGCCGACTCAAAGGATTCCCTTGGCGTGATAGTAATGAGGCGAGATCATCTAGTGCCTTTGCTCTCAAGCGGAGATTTTGCTCTAGTGAAATAGCAGTGGTAGGAATGAAGCGAGTTTCTGATTGGAGGAGCTCCCTGCAGATTTCCAAAGATGCTTGCTCCATTTCTGATGGAGGGAAGTTCAAGTCTCCCTCGCTGGATAAATTCAACGGATTTTTTGCCATGGTCCCAAAGAAGACCGCCTGCTCAAGCTTGTGCTTTGCTGTGACCTGAGGCTCTTCGACATCTTGTTCTGTGCTAGGACGAGGGAGAACCGTCACACGAATTACACCGAAATTCCGAAGCATAAGCACACATGCTGCGCAAGGCAAATCGTTCGATTGGTCCTCTGAGATGGACCCCAGGATTTCGTGTTCTGTGCCGGAGCGGAAGTGGATGGTATCTTGGAAAGGCAGAGGCAGGTTGTTGGAATCGAGAAGCAGTTGTGAGGATGGAGTCTCTTCGACACTTGTTAAAGACAAAATAACAAGGGACTGGCCAATGAGGATAAAAGCCGTTTCTTCTGGCTTCGGCACAAATAGCCTGGGTTTCGAAGCTTCAAGTTGGGAGACAGGAATATGGCGAACATCCACGGCATGTGTTGACATAACACGAGATTCGTTTCCTGATAGGTGAACTTGAACCACGAATAGCGTCCTAGTTTCCAACCATTGTGGCGACCTGACAACCAGGAAGAGGCGCCAGGACCCATCGGGAAGTTGGACAGCATCGTCGAAAGACTGCAGGGCAGAGAACACAAAGTCCATGACTTTGAGCTCTGTATCGTTTGTCGGCTGTGCATGATATTCAGGGAGGGCGTCCATAATTTCGTTCTTGAGATCGTATCTTTTTTTGAGGGTGTTCCCATGGTTCCAATGCGTGTCCCATATCTCAACCAATCCGGTCGAAGTTGCAATAATGATATCTCGCTGGCCGCGTTGATGAGAACCACCGGCCCGGACCGCAGTAACCTCTTTTCTCCATGACCCGCCTGCGAATACGTTTTTGAGGCCCCCGAAAATTCCACCGCCTCCACTTCCTGCGGTGCTTCTGAGGAAATTCACGACCACTGAAGGCTTTCCCTGGGGGTCCCTCAAGGTGATGTGTGCTACTCGTCCGGACGAGAACGTGACGATCACTCCCGAAGGCTCCCCGTTGAGTATTTCCGTGGCATACTCACCGGAAAGCATGCCAGGGGTGGATCCTTGGATGCCATTCTGCTTTTGCCGGGATAAACCCAATGACGCGGCACTGGATACAGTCTCCCAGTAAATGACTTTTCCTGTAGAAGGGATGATCACTAGTAGACCTGGGTGATCTCCCGTGGCCGTGGATAATAGAACTCCGAGTGGGACGGCACCTTTGGGATCTCTGCAAGACTCCGGAATCGATACCGTGAACGTCTCCGACGGGGACGGGGAAGAAGCGGGCGCAGAGTAGGGCCACACGATGGCATGCGAGCGGGTCAAAGCCAATGCGTAGTTATGACCAGTTCCGAAAAAGCACTTGAGGGGTTCTGCGTTCAAAGGGTGAGTGTCAACAAAGCGCAACCCAAGGTGAGGAAAGCTATAGAATTTGAGATACCTGATTGTAAGCCACGAATTTGATCTGGTAAAGACGGCAGTTGATCGACAGTATAGAAATCTGTGCTTGACTTTGAATCCAGCAAGTTAGCACTTTGGACTTGAGGGTCTGAAGGAACGCGCAAAGATGTGAAAGACCCACCAGAACGATTGTCCCCTCGTTATTATTCCCAGACCCATCGCCTTGTTTCGCACCACGGGCTGATATATGCAAATCGTTCATCAGATCCGTAGGGGTAATGTCATCGTTTGGCGCAGTGGGTGTTGCTAATTTTGCGATCTCACGTCCCAGATTGGTATCGGAAGGGGATTCATCTGGGCGTCGCAGGACAGAGCGCTGCCTCTTGGCCTTTGGTGGTTTGACAGAGTCATCTGAGCTTGTTCGCTGGCGTCGACGAGTATTGCGACCACCGGCTTTTGGGACGAACATTTTCAATGTACGCAACCTGTCGCGAACACACGCTAGCCTACGAAAGCTTCGAAGATTGTTGACCCTTGGGGGTCCGATTCACTCTGCGGTATTAATTTAAGGTCGTAATTGAGAGAACGAGAGAGATAGAGCGAGAAGAAAGCTCTCCCAAGAGGATGGGTTTAAATTGGAGCAAGGTGATAGCAGTGATAGGGTTGGTCAATAACAATCGAGGATGTTTGTCCGAAAGCGGTGAGACAATAACCATATTGTACAGGTCGGTACATGAGTGTAAGTTACATGTACTATTAAATACACTATATATCATGGATCTATATGCATTCAGAATGGTAACATATTCTAGATGTATATAATATGCGAATAGCCATTTAAATTGACTCTAGAATAACATTTCACATTATTCCAGCCCATTCTGCTCATTGAAATGTGGGGCTCTGTATAGAGCGAATACCATAGCATACATACTTTGCACCA